TGTCTGCGTGCTGCACATTAATAATCTCCCACGACATGTCTCGGGATAACTCCTCCCAACCATTAAAATATGCCGCCAGGCACTCAGTGAACTGCCTCACAGTGCTGGTTGTGGTGCGGTGCTCACCCGCCGTAGTCATCCGCAGCCCAACCAGCGTCATTGGATTTGAGTCCACAAAGAAAAAGCCGTCCACCAGCGGAAAGTGTTGGACCTTCGGTTCATACAGCACCCAGTGGTCCATAGCAACCGGATTGGAAAGACGTTCCGGTGGCGGTAGAACCTCTTTTCTGGTGAAGCTCGTGTCTGAGTGCTCTTTCAGCGCACAGCTGTGTGGCTCACGTCGTCCTGGTGGCCTCAGTTCCTTGATTTTAATTCTTATCGCACGCAGGAAATCCTCATTCAAAAATGCGGATACGGCATACTTTTCAATAAGATATGGTGGGACATAATCCCAGAACCTCAAAACAAAAAAAATAAAATCGGACTGCTTCATTTCATTCTCCAACCTGGACAAAGTTTCACGTTCAAGGTGGGGAGATACCAGCAAATTCAGAGGCGATTCAATGTTGTTTCCTCGTCGTACTCGGACAACCTTCAGAAGCTTTCAAGACAAGTCATTGTCATTGGACGAATAACAACAGCCAATACCCAAATTACGCTTTAATTCCGAAGCGTTCATCCCATCCACGGCTTGCTGACACGCTTTAATGCGGTCATCATATGCCTGTTTATCAAAGATGGAGCGGAGAATTGGTCCCACGTTATTCATGCGACCCCTCACCTCCTTCCAGTATTCCGCTTGCTCCTGCAGGGGTCGATTGCGCTTCATCCAAATGCACATTGCCCTCACATCGTTTTCTTCGGGACAATTCGTTACGATTGCAGTAGCGTCCATTTTTTTTGTCCACCGTTCATATTCGTTTTTGTCTGGTGGTGTCACCACAATCATGCCCCATCCCTTGCAAGGCAAACCAGCAGACGGTTGACGACATGCCAATGTCGCATCGTAGATACAATACCCTTTAACCCCACGGAAAAAAAAAATGTTTACAACATCCTCAATCCTGGGGTTATCCCTGTATGTTGATACGGTTTTGGTGGGTCTGTCCAACAGGAATGATTGACTCCCAATAACGTACGCAA